ACTCGACCGTCTTTGCCGAGCGGGCCGAGTACGGCCGTGAAAAATGGGTCCGCGTCCGAGATGCGCTGAGCAGCGTGCGCATCGAGCTAAGCGAGTTCTCGGAAGCGTTCCGATTGCGCGCCAAGGTCTCGAGCGCCGACGTGGTCGAGGCATCAACGCTTCTGCTTCGCGATGCGGCGACATTGGCCGACGACGTGGCCGGCTTTTGCGCGACGTCCAAGGCAACGCGACGACGCAACAAGAGCTCGCCGACGTGCTCACGATCGAACTGGGCAACTTGACCGAGTTTGCGTGGCCCGTCGACGGCGTCGCCGTCAAGTTCAAGCGCGGCATTAGCGGGCGGTACCGCTGCCACCTCCAGGAAGACGCTGTCTCGCTGCTGCTTTTCCAGCACGTGGGCATGGTCTGGGGCAGCAAGATTCGAGAGCAGATGGCGACGCTCTTGCATGCGCTCGAGCCGACCGCGCGACCGGCCCGCGGATCCGTCGACGCGACGCGCAAGGAGCTGCGCGACGTCTTTACGCTCGCGGCCCTCAACACGTCCAGTGGCAGCTACGACGAAGTGTCGGGCGAGGTGAAATCGGGGTTTGCCGGCGCGTCCAAGCTCGATCTCTTGCGCATGCTCAGCGCCGAGGCGCAGTACCAGACGGCGTTCACACCCGAGAATGAAGCCAAGTCGCTGACGGCTGTCACGACCGACCTCGCGTTCTTTGGGCCGTCCATCTCGCACACTGCCGTGCTCGGCTGCCTCCGCTTCTTCGGCGTCGACGAGACTACGCGCGGTATCTTGACCCGGTACATGCAACTGCCGCTGGTGTTTCCCGGTGCGACGTCGCCCCGCACCATGCAGCGCGGGCTCTCGGTCGGGCGTGCGATGACAATGTTCCTTTCCGAGGTCATCCTCTTCGTCATGGACTTTAGCGTCCGGTCCACCACGGGTATCCACCTCTTCCGGCGCCACGACGACATCATCTTCTTCGATGCGGACGGAGACAAGGCTGCGGCGGCGTGGCGCGCGATGCAAGCCTGGAACGATGTCGCCGGGCTGTCGTTCAACGTGGAAAAGAGCGGGTCGGTACTGCTCTCAAGCGCGCTCAGCGGTGTCCATGCCGCGCCGGCGCCCTTGCCGTCGACGCCGATTCGCTGGGGGTTGCTCGAACTGCAGTCGGATGCGACCGTCCGCATCCTCGACGACAAGGTCGACGCGTTCGCACTCGAGCTTCGTGACCGCCTCGCCGCGGCGCCGTCGGTCTTTCGCTGGATCAACGTCTACAACAAGTACATGGTCTTCTTCGTCCGCAACTTTGGCTCAGTCTCGCCCGTCTTTGGCCTCTCGCACGCCGACGCGGTCGCCGAGACGCTGCGCCGCGTGCACCGCAAGGTCTTTCCCAACGGGAATGTGCTTGCAGCTCTGCAAGCTCGCATTGTGCAGCGGCATCCAGGGCTCTTGGGCGAGACATTACCCGCGGCGTGGGCCCAATGGCCGCTGACGCTCGGTGGCCTCGGCCTCCACAACCCGTTCCTCGTCGTCTGGTCGTTGCGCCGCGCGCTGCTCGACCACCTCGAGTCGTACCACACACGCGTGCACGAGCCGTGGCCCAAGGAGCGCAGTCACTGGCAATGGCGCGCTGCCTTCTCCACCGAAGCCATGCGTCTCCGTGAACGCTACAACGTCTTTGAAGAAACGATCGAGCGCGACGGGCTCGAAGCTGCATTCGAGACGGTGGAATTGGCGGACCTGCGGCAGTTTACGACGCTGCCAGGTCACGAGACCACGTTCGACGCCAAGTACCGCGTTCGATCGCTGCCCGAGGTGCTGAAGCGGGCCGGGGCGAATGAGACGCCGCATCTCAAGAACGAGTACGCGGCGTGCCTCTCCCAGGTGACCGAGACGTCGCCGAATAACGCCGCGTGGTGGTTGACGTCGACAGGAAGCGCTGTCAGCGGGCAGCTGTTGACGGCAAACAAATTGCAGCCGTACTGGTACTGGCTCGCACAGCTCTACAGCGATCAGTTTAGCGCCGAGTTTGGCACGGTCGCGTTCTTTAGCCGCGAGCTGCTGCCGTCCCAGCTCATCGAGACCATCGAGAAGACGGCGGTCTCGTGGTAATCTGGAATTTACAAGTTGTCGAATCTCATACTAGTGTGTATTCTAATCGACGTCATCAGTTGAATGATTCTAGTCCAAACAATATTGTCCTCTCGTGCATATTGTCCTCTTGTGCACAAGACCGACACACAGACGCGCGTCTCGTCGGTTGTCATAATGGGACGAGACTTTCTAATGAACGCAAAACGAGATTTATGGGTTTCAGAAATGTCCTTGGGCAGCCTCATGACCATGTCCACGCCGAGGCGAACCCTCGTTTGACGAGAAAGATGATACCCATCTGCGTCATCGTTGTTTTGAGGTATGGCTCCACTGCTACATTTTGGCTTGTTTCCTGTCGTACGTCTCTGGGTGTATGGAGCGTGCATGTTTCCCAGAGACAGTGGCGGAGGTGGCGACGTCCGATTTGGCGAGCTCGTGTTAATGTCCGAGTTGGCTGCTGGCACCTTTGGCTCGTCTCGTCTCTAGACGACAAAGATCCACTCGACATCACGGACCTGTTGTGAGAAGGGATCGAGTGCAGCCTTTTGAGCACGAGAAAAAGAAGGTCGCCTTTCCGCCTGCCGTGTGGCAAGTTGTTTCTAAATTGAAGTACAGAAATACCAAAGGTTCTGCGCGGCTAAGCCAGGCCATCCACGATACTGCCATGATGTTGGGCTTGCGTGGCGAGTTGCGGTCCATCCACGTTGCCGTGACGTGGCCGCGTGGCGTCGACGGCTTAAATAAAACGCGTTTTAGTCTCTTGACGTGGCGCCACCGCTCGGCGCTTGCAACTCGGAGCAAGGAAGCGAATGGCGGTCTGCGGTTCTACGACACGCTGAGGACGTAGACATGCATATCTACTAGTATTATAGTAGCCCGTGCCTCTACGCCCGTCGGCACATACACGGCCGTCACACGATCACAAGCCGCTGTCGCAAGCTCGTCATTCCGTTGCGATTCAAAGAAATCGCAGCGTTCAAGTCAAACGAACGAGAAATACGCAGACACGACGCTGCGAGACGCTGTCCCCTCGCAGAACTGGCGCTGTCGACCCACGCTAGCCGCCATCTGGAGCACAAAAAAAAAGCTTCGTTTCCGTTCGCGGTCCAATTTAACCTGAAAACCCCACGTGAAAAACGTGTTTTTTGGTCGTGTGTCCATCCGGATACATCGACGCGAGCTTGCCATTTGTATCCAATCCACCGGATACAAAGGCGCGACATAGTGCACATGCGTTTTAAACACCTGTTTGAAACGTCTGTATAAAACGGCCAAGAGGGCGCGCCATTCAGCCATGCCATTCAGCGATGGACCCGACGCTTGGCTTCGTGGCCTTGCAAGCAAGCTTCGACGAGATCAACGACCATTAATGCAATCAACCGTTTGTATATGAACGTCAGGACCCAAGCTACTTTCAGCAGCTCTCTCTTGTAGAGCTCGAGCCACGCATGCCACATGCCACGGTGCACGGTGCGTCGCGAGACGACACCTCGTCGCGCTGCATGCCCAGCATACTAGTGTATGTAGAAACCATTTCGTGGAACGCGAGCCACCGGAGCATTCTACGACGGCCCGCAACTGGTCTTCGCAGATCTGGTCGTGCCTGTCACTGTAAACCTTCGAAAATCCTGGCTCGAGCAGCCGTTTTCGCGCGTTTGCCACCGTTCGCTGCGCATCGGATTCGGTCGACACGCGACCTCGCCGTCTACCATCCTCGCTTGTTGACTGCAAGGGACCTAGAAACCGAGTAGCATCGACCACCACCGTACTAGGTGTCCTTCGTGCGCGAGACTGTTTTAAACACAAGTCGAGGCGTGTTGTTTTGGTGAGAATTTTGGCCAATGGCCTGGCGGCGAATCTGCGTCAAGATTCGGCATGTGAAAAATACCCTTTTCCATTTCTGTCTTGCTGCTCCAAGGTCCTCATCGTCGTCGTCGTTATCCGCAAGTGATAATGACGTGCTAAGAGAGCAAGCCCTCCATGACACACCTTCGCAGCCACAACTAGTGCGACGACCACCACCTCCATCAACCACAACACCACAGTCATGGGCGCCATCAACAGCGTGCGCCGCCTCACGATCCAGACCATTGGCCTCCTCGAGGCCCTCGAGCCGACGCCGGCCGAAGTCGCGCTCAAGGCCGAAGCCGTCGACGCAATGCAGCGCCTCGTGCGGGCCAAGTGGCCGCATCTGCGCCTCTGCGCATTTGGCTCGTCGCAAAAGTAAGTGCAATGTCAATAAGGTAATGATGGTCATCGGGCATGTAGCGGCTTTGGCGGCGGCAGCAGCGACCTCGACATTGGTCTCTTCTTTCTCGACCCTGCCAAGCTCGCGGCCCTCACGTGGAACGACCGCGTCCAGATCCTTGCGAGCATTGCGGGCATCCTCACGCAATCGGGCGCCCTGCAACTCGAGCAGTTTGTTTACAGCGCCCGCGTGCCGCTGCTCAAGTTTTGGGACACGCGCCGCAAGGTACAGATATGGCGCTCTCGCAGCACGTAGCGTCTCATTTGCTCGTAGATTGCCATTGATGTGACGGTCGGGAACCCGCTTGCCTTGGAAAACACCCGGCTCTTGCGGCAGTACGGCCAAGTCGATGCGCGCGTGCGTCCGCTCGTCTTTGCCGTCAAGCACTGGGCCAAGCAGCGCGGTATCAACGACGCATCGAATGGCTCGTTGAGCTCCTACGGTAGCCTTCTTCTACCTGTTGTTATGCATGCTGATGGCGATGACACCTGGCTAGCTTGGATCATGCTGGTCATTTTCTACCTCCAGACGCGGTCAACGCCGATTCTGCCGTGCCTTCCGACCGAGGCTTCCAGCAGCCTTGTGGCGGCGTGCCCGACGCCCGAGGCCATGCCGTCGCGCTGCGGCCACGACTCGGTCGGCGCGCTCCTCGCGGGATTTTTTCATTTTTACGCGTGGGATTTTGACTACCAATCGACGGTTGTGAGCATCCGGACCGGCGTCGGCTTGCCCAAGATTGGCAAGTGGGGCCTCGGTCTTGGCACGTGGCGCTTCTCGATTGAAGACCCGTTCGACCTGGGCCATGACGTCGGGCGCGTCATCTTTCACCCCAAGGGCCAAGCCCGGCTCAACGACGAGCTGCGCCGCGCGGCGACCATGGCGCTTGTACCGGACGGCCACCTCGACGTCATCTGTGCGCCAATTGACGAGCAGACGTGCTTCATCTGCAACGCGCGGGCGCACAAGCCCCGGGACTGCCCCGATATGTGGCTACCATCGACAGCCGCGTCGTCGCCCGTGTCGTCGTCGTCGTCCAATGCCAGCTTGAGCTCGTGTGGCAAGGCGTCCATGGTGTCGGCCAAGGCGTCGACGCCGAATTCGGTCAAGACCAAACAGGTACTTCAACTCGAGAGCAAGAAGCGACCCCGACGACGCACCCGCGCCAAGAGCACCCCCAAGAAAAAATGATGCTCATCTAGCTTACCCGAGTCCGTGTCCGTGCCTTTCGTTGTGTCGTCGTCGTCGCCGTCGTGTGCTTTTTCTACTATTTACCACACCAAATTGGAGTTTAAAAATCCCCGTACAACTACAAACAAGATCTGATTTGACACGACGGGTTCAAAATTATGTTATGGATCAAAGACAGGCAGCGCGTCATCCGACGACGCGGCGCTGCTCGGTGAACGAGGCCCCTCAAAGCCCGGCAAGTCGTCGTCGTCGTCGTCACTCAAACTGTCGTGGGCGTCAAAGAGCGGCGCCGGTTCGTCCATGGAGCCATCGACATCGGGACTTGAAGCCCCGGCCTTGAGAGCAATGCAGCAAGGTGCCATTAACGGAGCGTCTGGACATGGCTCGTGCTCCTCTGCTTCGTTCTCGTTGGTGGCATTTGCTGAACCCTCCGACCTTGATGTGGTGCGGAGCGGCGGCGAAGGGGTAGGGTTGACTGGATCTCGGTCGTCCACCTCGTCTGCGCTGCTGTCGTCCGGGTTATCTGGTGCCGCGGGGTCCATCGGCGCGTTGTCAAGAGATACCTCTGCGACAATTTCGTCGCGGTTTTCGTCTGCGTGGTGCGGCATGCTGCCGGTGTGCTTACCACCCTTCGTCCTCGCCTTCTCTCGTTGCTGGTGCATCGTCTTGGCCGAAGGTGGCACGAGGCGGAGGATGGCCTGCTGGAGCTGGAGTCGCTGAAGCGGCAAGTGGATGTGAAAGGTGTGGTTGAGCGTCTTCTCGAGCGCAGCTGGGGCGCGCGCGAGGCCCAAGAGCGCGTTGCCGTCGACTTGGCTCACTTTCGGGGCGAGTGTCGGTAGCTTGAGTTCGTAGATAACCCACTTTTTGACGTCGAGCGTTGTCCACGTGCTCACGTCCGGTGGCAACGACACCGACAGCGTTGGTTTGAGGGGGCGCCGCCGACGACCCGCCCCCACGTCAATGCGAGTGGGTGTTGTTTCTGCTCTCAGGGGGACGTCCGGTGCAGGGACTACTGCCGCCAACGGCCGCTGTAAAGGCGCCACTCGCTTTCCGATGTACTTTTCTTTGGACACCAACGTCGGGCCTAATAGAAAACAATCAGGAAACCATCAGAAAACAATCAGAAAATATCAGAAAATATCAAAAAATATCAGAAAATATCCGAAAAAGCACCGGTCGGTGTCGTTTCCATCACGACGACGAGCTCGCCCGGCACCAAGATCGTCTGTACCGTGTCACTCGCCGTGTATTCCAGCGGGAGGGCCCCAAAGTGTCGCTGAATCACAAACCGGTCCACCGACACGAGCTACGCATCGTTTCGATCCACTCAGGGGTAGGTCTATGACATGACGTGGTACCATTTTACCGGACGTGCTCATGTCGGCGTTGCCCAGCATGTGGTTGTGCTGGAGCCAAAACATGCGTTTGTGGATCTTGGGGACGAGGTCCTTGACCAACGTTGTCGGCGTCGTCGCCATGTAAAACGAGCCAAAGGGTGTCACGACCTACACCACCAAATAAATATTCACCAGTTGGAAAAATCACAACCTGAAGGCCAAACTGCTCCTTGGGTCGACACACGGCCACGAACTCGTCCACATTCAAGGTGCCGTCGCCGTCCCGATCGAAACGCGCAATGAAATCCCGCAGAACGCTACGAGGGAACCCCGCAAAGTGCTGCGCGTGGAGGTACGCCGTGCACTCATCGACCGAGAGCGTGCCCGAGCCGTCCGTGTCAATGGCTCGGAACCCTTGCACTGCGTCGGCGCGTACGAGCGACCGCAGGGCCCCTTCGACCGAGTCCGGATCGAACGCAGCGCGTGCAACAAACTGCCCCAAGTGACGACGAAAGACGGCCCATGGGTACGACGGCGGCGTCTTGAGAGCCGCTTTCTCGAACGGCGCGCGGGCGATGCGACCGACGACGCAGTGGAGAACCCAGTACGGGCTGTGTGGAAGGCCTAGCTTCTCGACAGCGAGCGTATTCAAATTGGCCGGTTCAAACGAAGACGTGGCGTCCGGAAGCAGCTGCAAGAGCGTTCGAGGCACGTCGGCTTTGCCTCGGAGCTTCGTCGCTTTCTCAAGAATGGCCTTGCGCAGTTGAAACTCATAGAGCTCCAGCACAAACGCTTTGGTTGCGGCAAAGGCCAAGCACGAAGCAGCGTCAAACACCTGCCATAGCAATATTGTCTTGTAGGAAATAGACAATGTGTGTAGACAGACGTACGTTGGTGTCGGCGACGTGAAAGAAGACGTGCAGCGCTTGGAGGTCCATCGACGTCAGACCAATCTGACACTCCAACTGTAACTTGAACGCGAGCTCTTGGAGCGTCGGCAGGGATTTGAGCAAACGCACGAGTGGCACCGACGCCTTTAAAAGGCCAAAGACAAGGTGCTGGACCATGCGCTCGGCTTCGGGCTGCGTTAGGAGTCGACGCGGAGGCGCTGCCACGTCATTGGATGGGATTGTCTCTTCATCGGTCGCGCTGTCGATGGCCGTGGCCACAGAGATCGCAGACGCATCGACCACTGATGGCAGTGGGACTGCCACTACTGGCGTCTCGAACACTGCCTCCGATGTGGTGTCTGATGTGGTGTCCGATGTGGTCTCTGATCTGGCTTCTGATGTGGTTTTTGATGTGGTTTTTGATATGAGCGGCGGATCCACGTCGATGACTGACGCCAGAGTGGCATCGATCCTAGTTGACGGTGATGGGTCTGTGGCCGGTGGTGTAGCCACTGGCGTGGCGGGACTGGACGAGGCTCCTTCAGCACTACTAGCGCGTGGCGTGCCGGTGGGCTGGTGGGCCTCGGAGGGCAGCGCAGAGTCCGCACTGCCATCGGTGGCCACACTCGGTGGGCTGTCGTCTGCAGCCGCGTCCTTGTCGTTGGCCTCGTCGGGAGTCGTCTCATCGGGTCCTTCCCGGTGCTTTGCCTTCTTGCGCCGCTTGCCGCGGCTCATGGCGACGGTTTCAAATGGCATCCGCTCCAATGTACACATTGTACACTGTATCGTACGAAATAAAAAGGGTTATATGCATTATTACTGGCCGCGCGACAGGATCGGGCGCATCTCAAAGTACTGGTGCGCATTGCCTTGGGCGCACGTGTACATTTGGACCTTCTTATCTGGGTCGGACGGGTCCGCGTCGAGGCACATGTTGGTGTGCGTCTTGTGGCGCACTTGGCGCGCGCCGTCGTCGTAGATCCAAAACTGGTTGGGGTTGGACGCGTCGCATGCGTACGTGTGCAAGTAGAGCTTCTTGTCGTCTGCGACGAACGCGTCGAGGCAGGCGTTGCCGCTCACCGAGCGAATCGACCCGATCGACGGGTCCCAATCGAACGCATCGTTCGCGTTGTTTTGACCCGCGCCGAAGTACATGCCCGTGTAGTACTCGATCAAGTGCGCCTCGCCCGGGCTCTGGAGCTTGACAAAGCGCACCCGCTGCGTTGACGCCGGACTCGGCGACGGGCTCGGCGACGGGCTGGGCGATGGGCTGGGCGATGGGCTGGGCGTTGGGCTAGACGACGGGCTAGACGACGGGCTGGGCGTGGGGTTGGAGGATGGGCTCGCCGTCGGGTTAGGCGAAGTGCTGGGCGTCGGGGCTTGCGTCGGCGAAGCACTCGGCGCCGGCGTCGACGACGGGCTCGGCGCTGGCGAAGGCGGTGTCCGGTCGCACACGAGGTCTTGGCCAATGCACTTTTGGAAGACGGGCGACCCGCACTCGTCGGCGGTCTTGGCCGGGTTGCAGACGCCGGCACACATAAAGCCGGGTTTCGTGCCGTTGCACGTGCACTTGGCGGCGCAGTCGGCCTGGCCGGCCTCCGAGTTGCACGCTTTTCGGCAAAACTCCAAGCTCGCGCCGCCCGACGGCACGCACACGTTGCTCTGACACGGGATGAGCACGTTGTCTTGGTTGCGGCTGGCGCGGACGCCTTGCACGTTCATGTCGACTTTGAAGACAAAAGTCGAGTTGGCCGCGGCGGCGGCGCCCGCGAGAAGCAGCACCAACGACGCTGTTTTCATCATCTTGTTGTTTCTATTGCGTCCAAAAGGCAAACTGGCGACGAAGGGCGGCGCGTCGAATCGCCAGATGGTTCTGTCGCCACCCAATCCCGACCGCCGATATCATCACCTGCGACGGGATCTCACGCGTTCGTCCAGCGCTGGCTTTTGCATCGCGCCGTCTCGACCACCGAACGAACGATCTCGCATGCAGCGCCGCTTGGTCGTTCGTCGTCGCGCTGTCCTGGACTCCGCGCAATCGATCGTCGGTCGCCGAGAGAATCGATGGGCAAGCGCAATGTGGCATGCGCCGTGCGCTTCAACATTGCTTCAAGCATACCGGTAATGCCTTCGCTATATCTCCGTCCACCCTGGCTTCTCAGGGGCAAAACCCCGTGTTCAGATACCCAAGTACGCCACCTGATATCTGTCTGGCGTGCCAGATTTTGAGCAAATTTTGCTTAGAGTTATATTGAGTCAAATACCGTAGTTCCGTGATATAGCGTCGCTCTGTGCGAGTACAAAATGGATCGTTCCATCGCCCTCCGAGACGACGCTTGGTGTGCCCGCTACCTGGTCCCAAGCACAATCGTGAATACAGACGCTCCTCGCTTGACACCACGCCTCACGAGCGCAATAGGAGGTCCACTATATCTCAATAATTGTATGGAAGAACTCATTTCAACACCGAAATGGAGTGTTGCAAATCCTTCCGTGTAAAAGTACATCGCCAGCTCCCTCTTGGTACGCTTACGGTTCGTTGAGGGTCCTGGACGGCGTGGCGCGAGGTGCCAATGCGACATCGTTGAATGATTCTAGAGCCTGGCGTGCGACTCTGCTGCGCACGCCAGTAGACACACACGACGGCGATCCCCACCACGGAGCAATGAAAATGCAAGGACACTTACTAATTCCCACGCACCCCTCGCACTACATACAACTCGTGTTTATTCGCTCGTTATTTTCCTAGGCTACTACTGCAGGGCGCTCGTGTGGGCCGAAAAGTCCACCGACTCTTCTTGCACGTAGCGCCCATCAGGCGACGGCGGAAACGCGTGCTGCTGCTGCTGCTGTTGGTGGCCAAAAGCAGACGTGTTGTACGTGGGCGCCGCGTGGTACGTCCCAAACGACGGCTGCTGCGGGGCAAAGGCCGACGGGCCCGAGCTCGGACCGAACGACGTCGCCGATGTTGCGGGCTCGGGGTGCTGGTGGCCGGCCGACTGGGGACGACCACTAACGTCCTGGCTGTGGTTTTGCTGGGCCAGCTTGGGATTGAAGATCTTGAACTGCGGTGGAATGCTCTTGCGCGGCGCGGGGGCTGGCGGCATCGCCGGTGCGGCCGTCATCTGGTGGGCCGGCGGACCGGACATGACGGGCGGCGGCGGCACCGCTTGGTTGATCGACACCGTGTTGCCATAAAACGCAGTGAGCTCCGCATTGCCGACGCTCGAGCCAAAGCCGTCGGCCACAATGGGCCTCGTGACCTTCGGTCCGACGGCGGCCGTGCCCCGGGGAATTCGCACTGTGTGTCGGCGGCGCGTACAAGGCCGCGTGCCGGGTCATTCGCCATCGGTGCGTCGGGGTACCCACCCCCCATGGCCGGCATGCTCGTCGGCGGCGGCGCGATCGCAGCCTGCGGCATCGTCGGGTCGTGGAAGCCCGTCAAGCCCATTTGGTGGGCCTGTTGCACTGCTGCCGCGCGCTCGGTCGGGTCTTCGTGCTGGAACTGCAGCGGGAGCAGAAACTGGCGCAAACTGTCGCCCTTGGCCACGTCGTACGA